ATATATATGGCTTTCAGATTTTTCACCACTGTTTAATGTGATGGAAAGAAGACAGGTTTTTAAGCTACTCTAGCATGGCAAGCTACCCTAGCTCCTATGTGTTCTGAACCCAACGTGCCTTTCTTTCCTTTCACTAGTTTCCTTTACCATCTTGGATCTTCAGCCAATTGAAAATTACTTTCTCTGCTGTCCCCTCTTTTTTTGATCCCATATTTTGCTTATGTTGCCATTTTTCCATCTTTACCTGTAGTATTTCTACCCATTTTTCAAGTTCCATTTCAAATGTCTCCTGCATAAAAAAAAAAGTCTTTATCTTCCCTCAGGGAGAGGGGATCTCGTTCCCATTTGTGCTGCTGGAAGGCTTTGTAACTTTGTTGCTGTATTACATTTCAGTCCTGTATTCTTGTTGCTCAGGTATATAGTATCTTTACTACCTAGGAATTTGAGGGCAAGCAATTCGTTTTATTTTAATTCATGTATTTATTCCACTGTCAGAATAAATAATAATTTAACAAAATTAGCCAGGCATGGTGGTGTGCGCCTGTAATCCCAGCTACTCTGGAGGCTGAGGCAGGAGGATTGCTTGAACCTGTGAGGTTGAGGTTGCAGTGAGCTGAGATTGTGCCACTGTGTTCCAGCCTGAGGGACAGAGTGAGACTCTATCTCAAAAAGAGACCAAAAAAAAAAATCAATTTAAAGTCATAACATTTTTAAAAGATAAAGGAGAATTTGTGGCACAGCTGCATTAACAAAATAAGACACCAATCTAAAGTGCAACATAAATATACACAATTACACATAAAATTTCACTGAAGATATGAAATGAGGCAAATAACCCTTTGAAATGAACCGCCTAAGGAATCGAGGCAGGCTAAAAATTTCTTTTAAAATTTTACTGCAAGATGGAACCCCCACTCCCTGCTCCACCCCCTCCCCGCCCAGGTGAGTACTAACTCAAACCCCTCATTTTATGTGCATGGCCTTGGCTTCTGTCTTCTTTCCTCAGCCACATCCAAATCCAGAGTGGCTTCTGTACCCTATGCTCAAAAATGCAACCTTGGCCAGGTGCGGTGACTCACGCCTGTAATCCCAGCACTTTGGGAGGCCAAGGCGGGTAGATAACCTGAGGTCAGGAGTTCCAGATCAGTCTGGCCAACATGGTGAAACTTCTTCTCTACTAAAAATACAAAAATTAGCTGGGTGTGGTGGTGGGCGCCTGTAATCCCAGCTACTATGGAGGCTGAGGCAGAAGAATCACTTGAACCTGGGAAGTGGAGGTTGCAGTGAGGTGAGATTGCTCCACTGCACTCCAGCCTAGGTGACAGAGTGAGACTCTGTCTCAAAAAAAAAAAAAAAAAAAAAAAAAAAAAAAAAAAATTGCTTCCTCAAGTGCCTGAGGTCTAGAACCTCCAGGGAAATCAGGAGCACAAACACAGAGTGCAGCATCATTTCTTTTTTTTTTTTTCTTTTTGAGGTGGAGTCTCTCTCGCTCTGTCGCCCAGGCTGGAGTGCAGTGGCGAGATCTCGGCTCACTGCAATCTCTGCTTTCTGGGTTCAAGTGATTCTCCTGCCTCAACCTCCCAAGTAGCTGGGACTACAGGCACCCACCAGCACGCCTGGCTAATTTTTTTGTATTTTAGTAGAGATGGGTTTGCACCATGTTGGCCAGGCTGGTCTTGAACTCCTGACCTCAAGTGATCCACCTGCCTTGGCTTCCCAAAGTGCTGGGATTACAGGTGTGAGCCACAATGCTGGGATGCATCATTTCTTTAAACAGTGGCTTTAACTGTTGAATGAGCTCTGACAAGCCA